CGGCACCCGGTTTCTTGCCAATGGACTTCTGGCAAGGGACGGGTTGCACCTCACGAGGATGGAGAACAGGTCCTTTTGAGATGCTCTAGCGAGCTTCGTCCAGAAGACTTTAAACTGAGCTGGGGGGGTGGGGGTCAGGCCCCCCAGTAACGTGTCTGCACTGGACAAGTGTGGGGGGAGGATCAGGGCTCTGGGAGCAGGGTTTTAGAGGTACTGCAGGGACTGACAGGACTCCTTCTGAGAGGGGCCAGGTATCAGGGAGGATGGGAGGCAGGAGGAGGCTGGGGACTCCAAGGAAAGGAAGCGGTGGGAAGGAGTTGAGGTGCATGTACACCAATGCTAGGAGCATGGGTAACAATCAGGAAGAGCTTGAAGCTCTCCTGGGAATAGGAGGGTATGACCTGGCGGGAATCACAGAAACTTGGTGGGATGAAAGGCAAGTCTGGAATGTGAACATAGAAGGGTATCACCTTTTCAGAAAGGACAGGAAGGGAAAGAGGGGTGGGGGGTGGCTTTATACGTCAGGGAAGGGATAGGATGCAGTGGGATAGAATGCAGCACAGGTGGGGATTCGGCAGAGGCAGTCTGGGTGAAACTAAGAGGTTTTGACAGGGAAAGAGACCTGACAGTGGGGGTATGTTATCGCCCTCCAGGTCACCTTGAGACCTTGGATGATGTCCTGACAGGCCAGATTCTAAGGATATCTCGGGGGAGAGACACAGTCTTTATGGGAGATTTCAATCTCCTGGATATTACTTGGGAGACTCACTCGGCGGTGACAGCCAGGTCACGTTGCTTCCTAGAAGCTATTGAGGGAGCGTTTTTCACACAGAGGGTCTGAGAGGTGAAGGGGGGGGGGAACATCCTTGACTTGGTCTTGAACAACAGGGAGGAGCTGATAGATGAGGTACAGATTAGGGGAGCTCTGGATGCGAGTGATCACCCCATCCTTTGCTTTGAGATCAGGGGCCTGGGGACGGGCAGCAGGTCGAGCACAAGAAGCTGGGGCTTCAAGAGGGCCAACTTTGGCCAACTGTAGGCCAGACTGGGGAAAGTCTCCTGGGATGGGTTGCTGGAAGGCAAGGGAGTTGAGGAGGGGTGGCTGGCACTCAAAGGGAGGTTTTGGAGGCGCAAGCCTTGACGATACCTCTAGTCAGTAAGGTGGGGAGGCGGAGGAGAGTGCCGCCATGGATGCGAAAGGAGGTGGTTAGAGCGATTAGACGAAAGAGGAACCTCCACAGGAAATGGGTACTGGGGGAAATAGACAAAAGGGTATACCGGGAGGAGGAGGCCTGTTGCAGAAGGATTCTTCGTAAGGCTAAGGCTGATTACGAGTTGAGAGTTGCCAAGAATATCAAGAGCAACAAAAGGGCTTCTTTCAGCATGTAAATAGGAAGAGGAAGGGGGACAAGTGGTGGGACCACTAAATAAGGAGGAAGGAGATCCAGTGACTGATATGAGGGAACAGGCACAGAGGCTAAATGACAATTTTGCCTCTGTGTTCTCCCCAAAGCAGAACGGGGGATATCCACATAGGAGATTAGGTGAGGCTGGGGACTTAGGGGCACAGATTAGAGTCACCCCCCTTGAAGTCGAGGGGCTCCTCAGGGCATTGGACATTACAAAGGTGCCAGGCCCTGAGGGGTTACACCCGAGAGTACTTAGAGAGTTGGCAGGGGTTCTCTCACGCCCGCTGGCCTCCATTTTTGAGAACTTGTGGAGAATGGGTGAAGTTCCAGAGGACTGGAGGGTGGCATCAGTGGTCCCAATTTTCAAAAAGGGTAGTAGAAAGGACATGGGGAATTATAGACCAGTTAGCCTTACGTCCATTGTAGGAAAAACAATGGAAAGGCTCATAATAGAGAGATCTGGTGATGTTGGATAGGGAAGGGAGGCTGGCAGCCACACAACACGGCTTCTGCAAAAACAGGTCCTGCCAGACAAACCTTGTGGAATTCTATGACAAGGTTTCGAGGTGGCTGGATGGAGGGGATGCAGTGGATGTGGTATACCTGGATTTCAGCAGGGCCTCTGACAAAGTGCCCCATGATACCCTGGTGGAGAAACTGAGGAGTTTTGGGATACACCAAAGCACCGTCCAGTGGATTAGGGC